GGTTTAGTTTTGTTTTTGGGGTTTAGGGTTTAGGTTTGTTTTTGGGTTTAGGGTTCAGGGTTTAGGATTGTTTTGGGGTTTGGGGTTTAATTTTGTTTTGGGGTTTGGGTATAGGGTTTAGGGTTTAGTTTTGTTTTGGGGTTTAGGGTTTCATGTATCTGGAAATCTTGGATTCAGGGCTTCGCGGCTTGGGAGTTGTTTTGGTTATACAGGGTTTGTGGGTCTTGATAAGAGGTATCTATAGTGTTCTGATTAACCTCAAAGGGTCTTACGTACCTATATAGTAGAATGTACGGCTTTTATCATCGGAATTGCTATTATGGTTTGGGCAAGCATCCTCCTCATATAGGTGCTTAGAGCCCTTTGGGTAACCTTACAGTCCACAGTCTCGGGCAACGTCTAGAATCGCGTAGGGGCGTGGAGATCTAAATGCCTAAACCCTAAATAGGCCCTAAACCCTAAAACCCTAAAATCCTAGAGCCCTAAGACCCTAAACCCTAAAACCCTAGAGCCCTAAGACCCCAAACCCTAAACCCCTAGAGCCCTAAGACCAGAAATCCCTAAACGCCTAAAGCCCTTCGCTATCCAAACCCTGAGCTCCAAAACACCATACTACTGTTGATGACATAAATCCTGGGTTTAGTGTTTACGGTTTTGGGTTCAGGGTTTATGGCGTTTAGGGTTAAGGGCTTAAGGACCCTATACTATGGAAATTAGTCTATATTCCTTATAATGGGTAATGCAGGGTTCATATCATCAGCCGTACCATGCCATAGCACCATGGCAATCTTTCTGAAACGCCCTGACAACGTCCTCTAGGATGATTCTACAAACGTCAGTTAACAGCCTGTAAACTTTAAGCCCCAAACCCTAAACCCGAAGCCCTTAAGCCCTAAACCTTAAAACCCTAAACCCATTCAGACCTACTTAGAAGCCTAACAATCCGAAAAATAAAGAAACTAAACCCTAAATCCCAAACCATAAACAAGGAACCGGGGCCTGGTTCTGCAGTTGGCAGTCAGCGCCTGAAAGGAAGGATGCCAAGCAATGTGGGTAGTTCTCTACATTAGGGTCCCTTTCTAGGGCTCCTTAAAGGATCCATAAGGGTTTCTATATGGTTTTACGTAACGGCATTATATTATATATAAGGGTGGTTCTCAACATTAGGGTCCTTTTCTTGAATGCCCGAATATAGTACGGCACCGTTTATAAAAAGGACCCCAAAAGGGACCCTAATTTAGAAAACTACCACGTGTTCAGGCCCCTCCCCCCCCTAGCAAAGGCTATCCCCAAGGGTAGGTTTTTGATTCCAAACAAGGCCCTGAACGACAAGCGCTTCGACTCACGTAAGTTGCACATCAGGGTTTAGGGTCTAGGGCAAGACAGTAGTAAGTTAGAAGTCGTCCATAACTTGCATAACCCCAGTAATATATACAATACATAGCACACAAGATACATTCATACCATGCATATAACCCGAAACACTGCTCTCATTCTAAAGGCCCTACTTTGCAGTCTCGGGAGGGTTGATGAAGGATGTCTCGGAAGCCTGGAGTTGAGGGTACGGAGTCTGGAATGTGGGCCCTAGCAAGGCAGTGAGGCCAGGCATTCAGAGGCTAGGATTACATTTTTCGGGTTTAGGGTTTAGGGATGTTTGAAGGCTGTTCGGCTCCTATCTTCGGGACATAAGGAATTCAGTCGTTCAGCGGTTGGCGCCGACCCCGGAATCGTGCTCGAATCCGGATGTTTGGATGTTCCATGCAGTGTGTAGGGTGTAGTCCCAGACTCCCTAACCCCAGAACACCAAATTGATAGGCCAAGGACATCTATTTGTTCTGAGATCAAATTTTCTAACAGGACACACGCAAGGCCCTCGCGCATCAAAAAGCCCACCTAAGCCAATGAACCTCATACCGACCCTACACCACTAAAATCCCTAAACCCTAAACCGAGCCCGTATCCACCTTTAAGCCCTAGGCGCTGGAGCCAAGGATGTCATGGTGATTCTCTCAACCCAGCCCTAGAGACCCCTAAGCCCTATGAGCCCTTAAGCCGTGGCCACAACCCCAAACTCCTAAACCCTAAAACCCTAAAGCCTAAAACCCTAAAACCCCAAACTCCTAAACCCTAAACCCTAAAGCCCTAAAGCCTACAACCCTAAACCCTAAACCTCAACAGCAGCCCTTTTGCTCCATGGCAGCCTGCGGCGGAGTGGAGAAAGGCCGCCCCGAAAGGCTCGGCGGTTTTCTGTCACTCCGGAAGCCACGGTCGCCGAAGGCTCGAGGTTTCAAAGATTGGGGCTCGAAGTTGCGAGTTTAGGGGGTTTAGGGTTCTAGGGTTCTAGGGTTCTAGGGTTTTAGGGTTCAGGGTTTAGGGTTTTTAGGGGTTTTAGGGTTTAGGGAAGCTGGGAGTTAAGAGGGCTCCTTGAAATCAAGAACTAGGAGTTTAAGGTTGGGGGTCTAAGGAGGGGTTGTCTGTATAGTTTAGGGTTTAGGGACTAGGGTTCCACAAGGGCAAGGGCTCTAGCAGGTTGTAAAAGCCGTTTGGAAAGGCTTCATGAGGGTTCTAGACCTCATTAGGAAAAGTACTTTAGGTAGTAGCTGAGTAGGTAACCTTTAACCTTATGGGGGTGTATAGAATCCTATACCAGAAATGACAAGGTTAGCCTTTTGGGGGCTGAGTGTACTCAGCCCCCAAGAGAATCTACCCAACAATCACGGCATTTGGGTATGCTTTGGATACTACCCCCACTCAGTAACAGTTGGGTAATATTCACTATATTCTGGATATACAGGGCCCTTAATAGTAGCCCCAATTATAGACTGTTACTGTATGGGGGGCAGTACCCAAGGTATGCTATAGTAGCCTTATCATGTAAAACAGTAGCATCATAAGCCATTCAATCCCTATGCCCCACGACCGTTAACCCTAGAATCGCCTTAGGTCCCCAAACCCTAAAACCCGAAACCCTAGAATCCCAAACCCGAATTCCCTAAACCCTTCATTGGCCCCGAACCCTAAACCCTAACTCCTAAAACACCAAAACCCAAAACGGTGAATCCTACATCCCCCTGCACAAGCTCCCCCGAGACAGGCAGAGGCATTGATTGGGAGATGGATGAGGCGGTCATCCAGTGGTTCGCAGACCAAGTCCCAGAGCCAGGCTCCGCGGCTTAATATAGGGTTTAGGGGTTTAGGGTGTAACAATGCCTCTGTGGGGGATTCTTTTTTAAGTGATTATAGTGTAGTTTCCCCAAAAACCCCGTTCTAATTGTGAAGGCCCCCTGTGTTAGGGGTTCGGGGCCTTGTTAAATTTCGAGTAGGATTGTATTCCGAATGCATTCCATACTGGTGATACTTTGGCTTATGACTGCAGGGGGATATTTGACGTGTGCGCGGGTGGGCCCATGACTGACTGCTCCTGAGGCACGGGGAAGCGGAGGGGAGCGATCCCAGAACGCTTTGGGGAACACTTTCAGAACGCGGAGGCTGTGCAAGGACACTTTCGGAACGCTTTTACGGAACGCTCTTGGAATGCTTTTTGCAAAGTGCTAAAACCCAGGAAAAAGTGTTCAGAAAGCGTTCCGAAAGCATTCCGAAAGCATTCCAGAAAGCGTTCCTGGCAACCACCCCTCAGCACGCAAGACGAGGCTCTCTGAAACTCTGCCGGCGGGCTTGGGGAGGGGCTACCTCTCTCTCCCGCTCTCTTTTCTCTGTCTCTCTCTCTCAAAGTTTGGCCCGCCAAGCGATCCTGTCTCAGGGGCTGAAGCCTCAGGAGGAGCACATTGTCGCATGTGTCAAGCATTCAGAAGGCTTTCCCGGAACACACCAAAAACCACCTCTGGAACACTAAAGAATGGATTTCACCGCTGATGGTCTTTGCCTGGTAAGAGTAGGGCTCCTTTGAAGGGCTCTACAAGGCTTACTGTAAGGCTTTCAGAGTCTGGGGTCTAGGGTTTAAGGGTTCATCTCTAGTGGGTGGACCTCCTTGGTGGGTAGATTCAGGAGTCAAGGCTCTTCTAAGTGTTTGTGTCGAGGTTTAGGGTGTGGCATTCCCGCAACCCATCATCTTTGGGCTTACCCATAGGCCCCTAAGTAGTTCCTTTTTTGGGATTACCTTGTAGGATTCTAAGTAAGAGCCATAAAAAAGGAGCTACTTAGGGACTTAGGGGCCTATGGCTAGGGTGTAATGTGCCCCAGACCGAAGTCGCAAACCTGAGGTGAGGAGGATGACGCAGAATATTCGACTGGCCACTGGTCTTGCTTCTCGGCCCCTGCACATGGTTCCTATAACCCCGAAGCCCTAAACCCCTAAACCCTAAACCCCTAAATCCTAAACCCCTAAACCCTTAACCCTGACCCGTATCAAAATAGAAGGGTTTCAGGTCCCATGTTTTTGATGTTGATGGTACCTGACATTCTGACATTTGGGCACTTGGATCCTTAAGGGTAAGGGTCGGGGTTTACGGGTATCGAGTTTAGGTTGCACCAGGGGTTTTGGGTGCAGGATGCGGAGGTAAAATTCCTTGGTTTTCCCCGGGGGTTTCAGTTTTTCGGAGTGCCGGACTTACAAGAAGAAGCTCTCGCAGACCTTCGGTTTAGGGTTTACGGCTCATTACCAAAGCCCCTAAACCCTTACCAAAGGCTGAGGGTTCATCAATCAGTTGTTTGTGAACCTTCTACCGGCTCGCGTGAAGGGGACTAAATTAAATTAGGGGTCCCTTTTTTGGGTCTCGAATATAGTACGGCACCCTTATACAAAAGAACCCCAAAAGGACCCTAATTTAGAGAACTGCTCATATAGAGCCCTTACAGAAACCCTTTATAGAAACCCTTATAGATCCCTTAAAGGGACCCCCAAAAAGGGACCCCTAATTTAGAGAGCCACCTTAAACCCTAAACCCTAAACCCTGAACCCTAAACCTTATAGATCCCTTAAAGGGACCCCCAAAAAGGGACCCCTAAGTTAGAGAGTCACCCCCACATGAAAGCCCCACGAGTTTGGTACGTGCCGGCCGCGTGCTCTGGTGCCTTCAAAGCCGGTGGCGAGGCCCGGAGACAGGACCCATGCACTTAGGGTTTTGGGGCTTTGGGGTTTTGGGCTTTTGGGTTTTTTTGGTGGTTTTGGGGGTTTTGGACCATGCACGGTTTCGTGAAGGGCGGCGGGTCCTCTCGAAACTCAGGTCGAGGAAAAACGATGGACAGATAGGTAGGTAGATAGATAGATAGAGAGAGAGAGAGATAGAGAGAAAGAGAGAGAGAGAGAGATAGATAGATAGATAGATAGATAGATGGATACATTCCAGATGAATAGGTCGATGTACAGACAGATAGTTTGTTGTTGATCTCTTGGCTTCATAGGCTTCCGGATCTGGGGGTGCTGCATCTTGGCATAGGGTTCAGGGTGTAGGATCCAGGTGTGGCATGGCAGAATTGTACTACCTGCGTCGGCCGTGTAGCTACACCTTAAACCCCTAAGCCCTAAACTCTAAACTTTAAACCCTAAACCCTAAACCCCTAAACCCCTAAAGCCCTAAACCCCTAAAGCCCTAAACCCTAAACCCCAAACCCCTAAACCCTAAACCCCTAAAGCCCTAAGCCTTAAACCCCAAACCCTATAGTTGTCACCAACTTCGCCTTTGAGTTTCGGAAGAGCTGGCAGGAACTCTATCAGCACATCGTGAACATGTACCGATTGGGTGACCCCTGCACTCTGACGGTTCTTGCCAGACAGGCAGGGCTCTCATGGCTTTTGGGAACAAGGAGAAAGCACTGAGCCGCAATGCCATAGGCCTTAAAGCCTTAAGCCCTAAAAGACATAAACCCCCGAACCCTAAAAACCCGAAGCTCCTGAAACCCTAAAAACCCAAAGCTCCTAAAACCCTAAAGAGCGAAGCTCCTGAAGCCCTAAAAACCCAAAGCTCGTGAAGCCCTAAAAGCCGAAGATAAGTTCTCAAAACCTTTTGGCATCTCCCCTTGAGCCGTCAACCCAAAGGCACATCCCCTGTATCCCCTCTTCTTCGACCTGGACATCTTTGGTGGCTCGGTTCCGCAGTAATACCCTTTTGCCCTTTTTATTTTGGGGTTCCTTTGCTACAACCAAATAGTAGGAAAAAGGGTACCTAAACCCTAAACCCTAAGCCCTAAACCCTAAACCCTTATTATCAAGGGGCCACTAAAAAAACCGAGGTGGCCAATCCGATCGCTTTGAGGATCAAAGTGTACACGACGCCGCTCCTCGCTTGCTTTGGTTTAGGGGTCAGGGTCTAGGCTTCAGAGGCTTGGAATTCAGTTTATGGTTTAGGGTTTCAGGGTTCAGAGTTTAGCGTTTAGGGCTTCAGGGCAGTTTAAGGATTAGGATCTCGGGGTTATCTTGATCCGTCAGCGCTTAAGTTACTAAGCTCCTAAACTCCTAAGCCGAGTTGCGCGGAGTAGCTTGTCAACCTCAGGTTGCACATGTCATAGGCATTCATGGCTCTCAGAGGTTTAGGGGTTTAGTGTTTAGGGGTTTAGGGGTTAGGGTTTAGGATTTAGGGTTTAGGGTTTAGACTCTCAGCGGCAAGTGGGAAGGTTGGCAATGTGCGACTGAGCCCTGGGCACTACAGTCGGCATGGTTCGTTGTGCACGCTTGTCAACTTTGATGCCCGACTGGCCAGCATCGTGTTTCTAAGACCGACAGGTGAAAACCTAAACCCTAAACCCTAAACCCTACTTGGCACCCCGACAGGTGAAAACCTAAACCCTAAACCCTACTTGGCACCACGATAGCTATGGATCGGGCGAGACCTGCGAAACCACCATTTGGGAACCGGCCAGTAGTGTCGTATCACGATACATCATTTCCTAAACCCTAAACCTTCCTGAGCCCTGTGGTTCCTACGTCCTAAATTCCTAAAGCATTCAACAAGCTCCGGACATCTTAAGCCCGGAGCTTTCCTCGCAGCAGCCAAGACGAACGTAGTCCCACTAAAGAACCGTAGAATGCCTTACCTAGACCCTCCATCTACCCTGGCAAAGCCCGTCCAGCAGCCAAGATTTGGGGCTTTGGGGACATGCTGCTCCTGCGCGGCATGGCCCATGCATTGCTGCAGATTTACCCTCAGATGGCCACCGGGATGGAGGCCGGAGGGAGGGGGTTTAGGGTTAGGCTTTAGGGGTTTAGGGCTTAGGAGTCTTCTACAAGCTGTGTTACAAGGCGGTTTATAGGGCTCCTCTGCAGGCTATGTTAGTCTACATTACGATTTTCTCCCTACATGAGCCCTCTATCAGCCCTAAACCCTACTTAACAGCCCTCCGGAAACTTCGGACCCCCACCCAAAACCCTAAACCCTAAACCCCTAAACCCTAAATCCTTAAACCCTACTTAACAGCCCTCCTGAAACTTCCGGGTCCTACCTAAAGCCCTAAACCCCTATATAAACCCTAAACCCTTGAGGTTGTGGAGTTCTGAGCTCGGGGTTTAGGGCTTCAGCTCTGCGGTTCGCACAAACCAAGCCCAGGGCCTTCTTACCCTTAGCATCAAACTAGCCCAAAAGCCATCCATATACACATATATGTATATACATATGTATATATATATATATGTACATATATATATACACACACACATATAAATATAAATATAAATATAAATATAAATATAAATATAAATATAAATAAATATATATATATATATATATAGATGGTCAGGCGTGCTCCGCGGGGCCGCCCCCCCTCCCCGCTGTGGGTGGGGTGTGGAGTCCCTCCTTCCCCTGTGGTGTGGTTGTGGGGTTTTGGGGTTTTGCGTTTAGGTTAAGTTTTTGAGTTTGGGGTTTAGGGCTTAAGGTTAAGACTTATAAGGCTTAGCATCGACAAGAACTTAGGGAGGGTTTGGGGTGTAGGTTGGTTAGGGTGACAGTTTATGCTCTGCTTCAAGCTTAGAGCCTGCATTTTTAAAGTGGGGTTTAGGCTTGGGTGGTACAGGTGAAGGTTAATAAAAACAGGAACACGCCCCACGTTATAGGGTTTTGGCTTGCGTAGGGCTTGTGTAAGATCTTGGCCCCCTTTGAGGGCAAGGGTTAAGGAGGGTTGTTGGAGGCTGAGAAAGGGCCTTGATCTGTTGAATAGGGCTTGGGGTAATATTCCTAAACCCCAAGCCCCCAACCGCCCTAGTTCAGCTACTACACCCCCAAGCCCAAAGCCCACCAAAACCCCTAGATCCCTACATCCTGTCATGGTTTCAGCATGAGAAGGAAACCCCTAAACCCTAAACACCCAAAAAACCCTAAACCCTACATCCGATGATGGTGTCACTCTAAGAAGGAAACCCCTAAGCCCTAAGCCCACCAAAAAAACCCTAAACCCTAAATCCTATGATGGTTTCAACTTAAGAAGGAAACCCCTAAACCCTAAACACCGAAAAAACCCTAAACCCTACATCCGATGATGGTTTCAGTCTAAGAAGGAAACCCCTAAACCCTAAACTCAAAAGAACCCTAAACCCTGCATCCGATGATGGCTTCAGCCTAAGAAGGAAACCTAGCTCCACAACCCGAAACCTGGCACAGACACGGTTTAGGGGTTTAGGGTTTTAGGGTTTAGGGCGTTTAGGGCGTTTAGGGCGTTTAGGGTTTTAGGGTTTAGGGGTTTAGGGTTTTAGGGTTTAGGGGGTTTAGGGCGTTTAGGGGTTTAGGGTTTATTAGGGCATTTAGGGTTTAGGGTTTAGGGCGTTTAGGGTTTAGGCGTTTAGGGTTTAGGGTTTAGGGGTTTAGGGTTTAGGATTACTATATGTAGCATGGTGTTATCTGACTGAGTAGACTTGCTAAGTCCAACGAAACTCCAAACTACCCCCTACTTTTCAGGTCGCGGTGTTCCACTCCTCGAGGACACTGCGCTTGCGCTTGAATTTTCGGAGTTCAGAGCGGTCACTCGTTTAGAGCTTCGGGTTTAGGGCGGAGACTGCAGCGTTCATTCAGAGTTTACGGTTTGGGGGTTGGGGACTTCAGAATTTTCGGATCTCTCCTTGGATCCCGATTTCGTTCGTTAGGCCCTACTACTACTGCTACTGCCACTACTGCCACTACTAC